TACACGAGCTCTATAATAAGTACAGGAGAGTTTCCTTTCTATCAATAACAGACAATCGTGTATCTCGGGCTGGAGCGCTGGGGAGGGAGGGGAGGGGTATGGTTCCAGCGCGCTCTGACTCCCGGGCTTCACAGACAGACGCCTCGCCCGAGGACCGGTGATCCTTCTCTGACCACACGGCAGCGACACGGCCCACATGTTAATCCGCTCCGCTGGGCAGCCGGCCGCAGCGATCGCCATCACCGGGGGGGGGGGGCGGATGAGCCTGGCTCCTCAGCGACCCGCGCGCGGCCCGATTACGTTTCAATCGATGCCCGTCCCGAAGCGGGGCGGAGTGGCGGCAACCGGACGCGCGCCCTTTGTGGGCGCAGCTGGCGCCCCGCCGCCCAGCTCACCTGCACATGATCTCGTGGGTCAGCAGCACGCGGCACATCTCCGGGTTCTTGTCCTGGCCCTCGTAGACGATGGCCTGCGCGGGCGACAAGCAGAGGCGGGTTACGCGGCGCCCGTGGTGGTGGCGCCCCGTCGCCCCCCGGGCTCTGCGGACCTCGCGGGCGGCAGGTGCACGGCGGGCGAGGGGAGGTGGCGTCCGGGGGGCTCGCCCTCCCGGCGGGGTCACCCGAGCCTGGCTAGGCCGAGGCGGCCTCCTCTCCTGGGCGCCCGCCGGCCCTGCGCGGGGCCTTCTGCTCAGGAGGACGCCGGCCGCTGTCGGGCCGGGAGACGGAGGCCGAGGCCCCGGCGCAGGGAGCGAGGGCGCCGGGGCACCGGCCCCTTGCTGCCGGCGCCGGGCCGCTTCCTCGGGCCATTATCTACCCCGAGTTCCGATCGGCGTGTGGGGAGAGGCAGATCAGAGCGTTCCAGGACTAAAGAAGCGGAGACAGCCGCCCGGCCAGCCGTTTGCCTGGTGCCCAGGGCTGCCCCGCGCGTCCCCTGACCTGCAGCGAGTACGGCGCCCGGCCGCCCCCCGCGTTTCGAGCCCCGAAGGCCTGGCGGACGCCCGGCAGGAGCTGGGGGCCCCAGGGCGCCCGGGCCCGCGTGGCCACGTGCTCCTCGCCGGATGATATTTGCAAAGAAAGTGCTAATGGCCAATCTGGTGTTTATTTTGAAACTGCTAACAATGATTTTTCTCGGGTAAAAAGGCAGTGTCTGCGCACACACGCTCTGCTGGGTTTTGAGCAGAGGCTCCGCCAGATGGTGCGAAGCCTTAGGTGCGCTCACGACCGCGCTCAGCCCGGCTCCGCCGCCGGGAACCCATGCCGGGGGCCGCTCGCGCCTGCCCCACCGCCGGCCTCCCCAAAACACAGAGATTTAAAAAAGAAAAAAAAAAAGAAAGAAAGGGGAAAAGGCCACTGGGGGAGGGGCCGAGGGCGGGAGCCGGGAGCCGCAAGTTCCCCCGCAGAAAATTCCACGGAAGGGGGAGGGGAGTCCTCGTTCCAGTTCCCGCCCCCGCCCCCCAAAAAACGATCTGGAAATTGCTTCCAACCTCCCCGGGACTTCTGACACTTCCGTCCACTTCCAGGCGGACAAAGCCCTTTCTCGAGGAAGCCCGGGGCTGCCCTCTGGGAAGAGCGCGGGGCTCCCGCGAGCCCCTCTCCCAGCGCCTCCCTCCCGGTAGGCTGGGAACCGCGGCGGCGAAGGTGTCACCGCAGGCCGCCGGGCCGCCTGGGGCTCCGGGCGCGTGGCCGCGGCGGGCGCTGGCACTTCTGAGAGCGCGGCTCGTCCTCGGATGGATCCCCGTATTTATATTTGATTTATTTTTTATTTTGTAGCACAAACAGAAATCCATAAACTGTCGGTTCAGCGCCATTGACTCTTTGATCAGTTACTGGGCTATTTCTTTCCTTCTCCCACCCCCCGCCCCCATCTCCGTCAGTGAAAGGAGATTAAATGCCTTTATTTTCAACTGTTTATACTGCAAAGGTACAGGGATAAATGAACAATAAAAGTGCGCTTAAAACGGAAACCTCCTCCTCCTCTGTGCATAAACTCAGCGCTGCCTGCATCAACCTCTTCAACCTCTTCGTTAGAACACAGCGATTTCCCGAAACATTTAGCCCTTATATACAAAGGAAATAAAAGCACCCTGTCCACGCAGAGCCGGAGTTCCAGAGGCTTCACTGAATCCCAGTGAAATAATTACCCAAGGGCACACCGCCTCCGCCGCCTTTGTCCGAAAGACCATAGGTTTACCTGTCAGATCTGCTTTACTCTGAGAGAAAACCACACTGTTTTACCACTGCAGACGCTAAAATCCAGCAACCTTGTTGCCTAGGTAAGGACAAACTTTTTCAAAGGGAAGTAAAATCTGAAAACTAATTGCCCTGCAGACAGTAGGAAGCATGTGTGCAGGGCTGCAAGAAGGACCAGAGAGTTCTTTTCCACTTGGCTCACAATTGTTAAAGTTAACCTCAAAACGGAAGATGCCACTTTCATTTCTAAGTGTGAAGCTCAGTTTGGAAGCATATTTTAAATCAACCTGTGCAAAGTGGATTTCACTGAGGAACTGGATTGGCCTCCTCCCCCAACACTATTTTAGGAAAACTGGGAGGAAATCTTTAAAAAACAACTAACCAACAACATACCACGCAACACAAAACCAGCCCAAGACTGCACAATGTCAAAAAGCAATGAAGCGCTTTCCTGCACTTAATCACACGACTGATAGCCAAGTTATGATCGGAAAAGTTGACCAAGACAAGTTAAATAATTTAATAAGGAACTGCTTGTAATTATGTTATTTACAAGGTATGACAGAGAGTGGAAAGGGACGAGAAACTGCCCCCAGAGCAATGGACGGGTTTGGGTGACCCCTGGAGCTCAGAGTTTGAATTATGGAGATGGGGGGCTGAGAGGTGAAGATGGACTAGAGAACAAGGTGACTTTTCACCCCAACACATTTAACTTTTAAATCCAAATACATGTCTCATGTTACGAGACCATCACACTGGAAAGGAGAAAAAAATGAACTAATCAAGTCCAACTCAGTGGGCTTTGGAAAGGAGTTAGTTGCCTTTGTTATAGGGGGAAAAAAATCAATGAAATGATTCTAAGCAGAGAGAGAAACGTTTAAAAATATACAAGGGGGAGATCTTGAAAATTTTCTGTCAAATATTAATTACCATGATTAATTAAGACAGAATTTGACTCCAATCACAAGCCATTTAATAAAGCATATATGTCCTATTCTAATGACAACATAAACTATTTCACCGATCGCTTCATTTATTCCAATAAATAGGGAATTCTTATTAGCATGTCAAGAAGACTAAATGAGAAACAAATACACCAGATCCATTTGTCAGCCCTCTCCTCTCTGAAACTCCAGGACAGCCCCAGCTGAGCAGTGAAAACTATGCAAGAGGCTTAAACTTTCTCACCTGTTTGGTCATTGAGTCTATGAGGCGAACATACAGATCCTGCTCCGTTCTGACTCCTGCAAGAAATGGGGACAAGTTCTCATCAGGATTTCAGCCAGGGCACTCAGGGGCACAGGAAGTGGGCAGCTCGGGACTGCTGCCGCGGTGATGCAGCAAAACTCAGGCATGCCTTTCAAAGGCAGGAAAGAGAACCCAGCCACTCGTTTTAATTCTTCTCTTCTCTTAGGAACCTTGAGACTCTTAGGGCTTGTATTGAAAGGGGCAAAGGACTCTGCCTGGCTGAGAGCAGGCCTGGTTGCTGAACTGGGAGAGCCCATGTGCTCATTTATTTTTAGAAAACAGAAAGCACAAAATGGAAACTAAGTGAGAGTCTCAACTCTTTCTAGTGTCTCTCGAGGATTTTTTAAAAATCCGTGCACAGGAAGTAAGCTGTGCTTGATGTACAGAGCTACCCCCATCTCGATAATTAACATTAATTTGCAAAATTGAAAAAAGTCACTTAAAAGTGATGTTCTGCTGGCGCCCACATCGATCCCCTTTTTACTTTCTACTTCAAGCCCAACCGGTTAATCATGTGAAGTGCCATCGACTTATTGATCGTTTATGTTTTGTTTTCCTTCTATGCCATGAGAAGATTTCGTGTTTACATCCGTGTCATTTTAATCTCGCAATCTTTACGTCCTTTAAGCAGCGCGGAAGAGGAGCGGGCGAGCCAGCGGCGCGGGAAGGCGCAGCCGCCGCCACTTACCGTTGCTGTAGAGTAACTGGAGTTTATAGTGGATGCCGTTGTTGGTTTTCTCGTTGTTGGGCTCCTGAAAGTAACGATAAACAATTGCGTTTAGTGCGGCTGCTGTCCGGCGCGGCCACCGCACTCGGTCCCCCTCCACGACCGAGGCCCCTTGGCCTCACACAAGGCAGGACTCCTAGCCGGGAGCAGCGCGCTGATGTCACTTTCCTGCTGGAAGCCCAGCGCCCTCCTCGCCCGGAGTGAGTCCGGGGGCGCAGAGAAGTTGCCCAGCTCTCCGCGGGCCCGATCGGCCGCACGTGGCGGCGGCAGGGGCGCCTGGCCGAGCCGTCCCCGCCGCCGAGGGGGGCACCCGGGGCCACGCGCTGGGGCACCGCCTGCCTCCCACTTCTAGGAAGCCGCAGGGTGTGATTGTGTGTTTGCACTTACTTTCTCTTTCTCCACAAAGTCCACAAAAGCGGTCCTTTCAATCTCCACCGGCTGCCCCTGCCTGTCGTAGAGCGCCAGCACGAAGTGGAAGAAATTGGACTTCCGGAGGTTGGAAGGAGGCTGCTTCTCGAAGTGCGCCCGCGCCAGCCCCACGCCGCTGCGGGAGGAAAGAGACAGCGGCCCGGTGAGGAGCGCGGCGCCGGCCGGCCGCGGGGACCCGGCGGGGCCGGGCCCGGGGCGCGCGGGGGCGGCCGGTACGTACCTCTGGGCGGCCGTGTTGGCGTCCACCACCCCCGCCGTATGCATCCAGGAGCGCACCGGGTTCATGCCGCTGCCCAGCGGCTCCTCCTTCATGGTCGTCCCCCCGCGCGGAATATTCTCCTGAATCCCAAACATGAAAACTGCTGGCGGCGGCCGCCGCTCCCGGCCGAAAGCGCTTCGGCGAGCAGCGGCGCTGGGGGGCTCGGCGGCAGGCGGCTGCCCTGGCCGCGCTGGCCCTGCTCGGCGCCTGCGGTCCGGCCCGCCGCCGGCTTCAGCCCGTCCCGGGCAGGCGCGACATACACCGGCGGCTGGGCGCTCCGGACGGCCGGGGGCGCGGAGGCGGCTCCACCGGCGGCTCCACCGGCGGTAGCGGCGCTTCGGAGGAGCAGGACGCGGTGGCCGCGAAGGCGCTTGTTGTTGTTGTTGTTTGCAGGCGCGCTCAACGTGGTGTCATCCTAGCCAGGCGGCGTCCGCGGCTGCAGGGCACTGCGGGATCGCCCGCTTCTGGCGCGGCCCGCCTGCTCCAAAGACAAATAAACGGGGCAGTGAGTGCCGCGGCGCAGTCCCGGGCGCAGGCGGGGCGCGGCGGGGCCTGGAGCGGCGCGCGCAGCGGACGGAGGCGCACAAAACTCAGCCCTCTCTCCCCGAGGAATGGACCCTTTCCCGGGAGCCAAAACTCGAAGCCCCCGGGAGCGGCGCTGTCAGAGGGTGACGTCGGGGGGCGGCGCCTGCGCCATATATGGGAGCGGCCGCCCCTCGCCGCGCCCCTCGCCGAGCAGGGCTCCCCGGCCAAGGCGGGGCGCGCAGTTCAGCCCGGTTTGCAAGCCGACTGACGGCTGCTGGGGGGCCGATGTGCCCTCGGCTGGGCCTCACGGGGCGCTCGGGCTCTCCGCCCCGGCGGAGGCCACCGAGTGTGTCGGGCTGGGGCACCCACGTCGGAGGCGGGCTCTGCCCGATGCGCGCTCTCTTTCCCCGTGGCCACGGGAGACCCCGTCCCCCGGCCTGTCCTTAGGCGCAGCGACTGACAAAGAGGCTCCGGGCTCTCTGGGCGGACTGGAAGCGCGCCCCGGCCTCTCCGGCGACCCGGGGCCGGGTGTCCGGCTGCGCGCCCCGCGCGGTGACCAGACCTCCCCGGCGCCAGCCGCTCTAAAAGCCGAGCAGACGCTGCGGGCGCCCGGGTCCTGCCCTCGGTGCCGCTGAGCCCGGGTGAGCGCGCGGCGCGCGACTTTCCAGACCTGGTTTCGAGGAATCGGAGGGCAGCGGGGCGCGAGCAGCGCGTGGGCCCGGCGGCCGGGCTCCTGCAGCCAGGACTCGGCGTCCAGGCGCACTGCCCACTGAAAGGACCTGTGCGTGACACGAAGCGGGGGCTCCGGGGACGACCGGGAGCTGTCCCAGCACTTCCCTGCCGAGAGAAATCAGGCCCTTTTGATTAAAACAAACAAAAACAACAAAAAAAAAGGTTTCAAGGTGCAAGTGTGTCGCAGGACAGACTCTTCGCGCCGGGTCTGGGGTGGCACTCCTTTTATTTCATGAATTGGCAGTGTGTGTACGCTAATATTTTAATTAATCGGGAAAATCGAAGTCCGATTTACCTTATCTGGGGACCCTCAAGCCTCTTGGAAGGGGTGAGAAAAAAGCAGTTCTGGAAAGCAATCTATTTTGCTGGTGTTGGGGGTTAATGACTATTGCCAAAGATAAGTGAATTACCACAGCTGTTGCGCCAGTCCCATCTCAAAATCCATTCCGGTGCCGGCCGTCTAATTAAATACGTAAGTATAATAAAATCATATTTTATGACTATTTGAGGGTAATGAGATTAGTCTTTAGAAGCGATCGCCACATATTAAAGATGCCACTGTCTATAGAATGTTAATAACCTTAAATCAAAGTGTATGGAAACTATTCACGATAAATTAAAAGAAAATTTCTGTATTCCTAATAAGCCCAGCGCTTTTCACCCACAGCCAACCCAGTGGAAGAGGGAACAGTCTCTTCGTGGAGGGACAACGCAAAATAAAGTTGCTCAGCGGTGGAGGGTGGGGTGGAGACATGTCTTTGTCTCTGCGTGTTTAGCTGCTTCGGGGGCTCACGCAAGGCAAGCGCCCAGGCAAGCGTTATTGTCAGATTATGCAAAGTGCCTGTGCGGAAAAAGATGAAGTTGGAAAGAGGAAACAATGCTTCCTTTGTAGCACACTTCCTAAAATGCCCAGCCCAGGCTGGAGGTGCCTCCTTCTTTGCTCTAACGAAAGTATCATGCTTAAAATCATTTACAGTATCTTTAATTCAGATTACACGCGCCAAGGCGATTTAAATCTGATTACCAAATTAGAAGGTTTAAAAACAAATCCTTCTAAATCTGATACTGTTGACTAAAGAGGGAAAAAAAGTTCTATAAGCCCATCACAGAAGGTAACGATCCTGCCCCAGAAAGAAAAGGGGTTTTAAACCTTTTTGACAACAAATGCAGCTGCCCCACTATTTTGGACGATATTAAGCGAAAATGAATGCAAATCTGTGTTCAGCAGCCATCTGGCCCGAAATGGGGGAGTCAGCTGCTCTCACAACAGGCTCGGAGGCTGAATCCATTTCAGCTCATTTTCTAGATCATCTGGTCCCGCACCCAAAGCGTGGAAAATACGGTCTTTATCATTCACCAACTTTATCTTTTTTGTCACTCCACTGCTGGCTGCGAGCTGCGGGCACAGAGACTTGCCACCCGAGCAGGCTCTCCACACGGGCCTGCTGCGGAGCGGCCTGGGAGGGCTGTGCCCTCGGCCCCCACCGCCCCCCACCCCAGGGGTTCGCCTTGACGGGGTGGGAGCAGTGGCTGAGAGGACCTGGGGTCCCAGCGCCCAGGCCGGGGATGGGGGGGGGAAGAGGTTGCAGGCCCATCCCGGATGTCCAGAGAGAGGCTGCAGCGCGTGCCCGCGCCCGCCGCCCCCCCATGGGGGCCCTGCCCCGCCTCTCTTCCTCCCTGGGGGCCTAGGGGCGCCCAGTACCCCGGCAGGAGACGCCGAGTGGGGACAGGCTGACACTGTGGAAGTTGCGCAGGCCCGCCACTACCGCCGGTCCAGCCTCCGCGCACAGAGCCCTCCCAGGGGCCAGACAGACGCCCAGGGGCCGGCCCGGGCGGGGCCTGACCTTCGCTGGAAGCCCCGCGGGCCGCCACGGCGGCGACCACCGCTCAGGGCCCCGCGCTCAACGCGATTTGCACGGGTGGCCCTCGCGCCGCCGCCGCCGCCTCCTCCTCCTCGGAGGGTGGGAAGTATTCCTTTTGTGCGGATTTACGGGGAGAGGCTTCAATGAGCCCCCTCGCATTTGCATTTAAATAGCGGCATCAAGCGCTTCGCGTGCCACACACCAGTGGGCTCCCAGATGTCACGCCGGAGTCAGTCAGATGGCCAGTGCCCAGCTGTCCTCCCCACGTCGTGCCGGAGCAGGCAGTGACCTTAAAGAGACAGTGCCCTCAGCCCCTGGAGCCCCGCTCGGGGAGCGGCTTGCAGGGTGCAGGGCCGCGGCCGCGCTTGGCCGCTGACCCGCGGCACCACCGGAGGCTGGGCCAGGCGGTACAACCGCGCGGCGCCCGCGCCCACCAAGCCCTCCGCCCGCGCCCACTACCCACCCGCGGGAGGGGGCGGGGGGTTCCAAGCGCGCCAGGCGTGAACTTCCCCCTCGCGTCTCTCCCGCCCCACGTCCTCCACGGCCGAGTGGTGCGGGGCCTGGTGAGCGGGAGCCATCCAGAAACTTCAGCCAAGTTGGGGTCCCAGGGTGCATGGCCGGCCTCTGAGACCGGGCTGGACCCGTGTCCAAGGGGCACCCTGTGAATGCACCTTCTGGCTCTCGGCCGAGCCCGGGAAGCCAGCCGCCCTCCCTACCAGCCTTCCAAGGAGTCAGAAAATGCATTTCCGGCGTTGAGAGAAGCCCGGGCCACGGTTCCTGGAAGCCGATGCCTAAGAGGGATCCGGGGTGCGGGGCGCAGCCGAGTGCGTCTCCCTCGCAGGGCCGGTGTCCTCAGGCCCAGGCTGCGGGCCGTGCCCCTCAGAGCCCTCGGGAAAGGGTGGGAGCCACGCGCCGAAGGCCAGCGGTTCGCTTTCCCGCCTCCACGCTGAGTTGCAGGCGCGGCCCGCCCCCACGTCCTCCGCGCCCGGGGGTCACGCTCAGACCGCGCTGGTGACCCGGCCTCCAGCCCGGCTCCCGGCCCATCGCCACAGGCAGAGCTCGGGAAAAGAACCCGAAAGCGGAGAGCCAGACTGACCTTGGGCACCGGCGAGCAGGAGGCCGTAGAGGCTGGGAGAGCGGAAGAAGACAGTAACCCTGGGAGGGCGCCCCTAGGAAGTCGCGCACTGCGGGGTGGGGTGGCACAGCCGGGCACTCGCAAACCCTGCCCGGCGTGGGTCAGGGGTGCGGCCCCTGAGTGCGCCCGGGGTTAGCCTTGTACCACGGGGGGTACAGTGGGCCCGTGGGCCTGGGGAGGTCGGGAAAGCCGGGGCTCCGCACTCAGGCCACCCCAACCTGTTAAGCGACGAGCCAAGGGCGCCGGGCCAGAGTCTGGGGAGGTTCCCAGGCCCAGGGAACGCGCCTTCGCCCTGGCTGGACAGGGACGGGGGCTGAGGGCTTCTAGGGAGGCTGTGGCGACAGAACCCCAGCCAGGACGCGCCTCCCGCACACCCTCGGAGGCAAGATACCCTCGGGACAAGGCATCTTGTCCCGCACACACGGGGCTCCTCTGCCCTGCGCCGGAAGGAGCGAGGCCTGGCTGGAAGGATTCACAGCTAAAAAGCGAACATCGGAGGGTCCTAGACCCCTGATCTCTGCACGGCCTCCTCAAGCCCGGTCACTCTGGAAGGGTCAGGCTCCTGCAGGCCGACCCCAAGGACCTAAAAGGGCTCAATACTCCAAGTGAGAAGGTGCAGGCGCCTCCTGCCGAGGCGACCAACTTTGACAAACAGCGCCTCCTGGGGTGAGCAGAGCAGAGTGCCGCCGCGCCGCCGCGAGCCGAGCCGCCCAGACTCCCACCCAGGCCCGGGCAGGTGGCCGCCGCCGCTCCCCGCCCGCCCGCAGCGGGCGCACCTAGGCCTCGCTGACCCGATGACCCCAGGAGCGCGAAGAGCCGTCCGCCCGCCGCCAGGTCCTAACTGCCGCTCACGTGTGTCTGCAAAGTCAGGCTGAGCCCGGGCACCCGGAATAA